TTACTATTCAGCAAATAGCGAACATGATTGTGTTGATAGAATTTACAACATTCCATAGATCTAATCAAATTGATCTCATGTGAGAGGTAGTGACTAAATTCAGAATAAAATGTGAATTGGACAAAAAAAAAAACTTGGTTGATCGAGATGTCTATTTTAATGACAATTAGAAATCTTAGAATATTTAAAAAGAATCATTTTATTCAGAATATTGAGAGAGAAAAGGTAATGTTAGATTTTGATTAATGATCATGAGTATAATGAGAAGCTTATGGATGAAAAGTTCATGGATGAGAATAATAAATTTGAATTAAATCAACAATCGATGCCACAGATACAACCACCGATTGCTTTGCTTATTGAGCCATCATCATTTTGAATAATTGTCCAATGTGTATTTCGAACACAATTATGACCATAATGTTCCATAAGTTGTTGTACACTTCCCTTTGGTGAAACGAACAAAACTTGTTCTCGAATTTTGACATCTGTCACTTCATAGGAAACTTCAGCCGATTTGTTGTGTTCGACAAGATCTTGATAAAGCAAAAACAAACCGAGATCATTTTCTAAACCATATTTCATTAGTTCAACTTTGTATTCATTGAGAAATTCGATCAAATTGGTTCGATCGCACAATTTTGTCAAACGTTCAACAATTTTATTGTTGTTTCCATCAAAAAATTGAGTTGGAAAATAGGCATTTGTAGTCTTGTCATATGCCCACATGTATGGTACAGCATTGTCCATTGATGATGATGTTGAAGCCTTGGTATGAAATGCAAATGAATGGCCATTAATTGAATAATTGGCCATCAATTGTTCAACGTCGGTATCGATAGATTTAACAGCTGTTTCAACATATTCACCATCATTCAATTGAAAATGATTGTGTACCAGAGAAACACCGAATAAATCATGCATTTTATGTTTGATAAATACGTGTGCCAAATTATCAATGATGCTTTCAATTCGTTTTGCTTGTTCACCTTCGCCATGACATTCACACATGACCCAATTGATTGAAAGTCGTAGTTGAATAACTTTTGAATAAACCAGTATCAAACATTTTTTGAGTTGCAACAGCAGCAGCCATTGTTTGTTTAATCAGTTGTATTGAGTATTGAAGTACGATTGAGAATAGAAAAGTGAAAAACAGTTGCAAATTCGAAACCTTTATATACTAGGTGAACAATGATGTTTTTCAATACTCGGAAGTAGAAAAGAAATCGATGCACTAATGTATTTCATCCCAAACAAATAAATTTATTGATTCAAGTTTCACTCGTTTTGCTTTTGTTGTTTATTTACCATGAAAAATTTCTCTTCTACTCATGAATTATTGGCCTGAATTGAGATTCTATAGAAATGTTTGTCGTAAACACGCCCAACTGTGCGATGCTCTTCCTACTAAATGAAATTAGCTTTAGAATATAAAAGTTAAGTAAATATACAAAATCACTTCCGTCTACATTAGTTTATTATAATTTTTTATTCATTTCTGACGATAAATGATTTGCTGACTGACAGTGGCGGGCCGGACACCGCTCTTTTGGCGCCACCTGAGCTGGTAACCGTGTGGCAATTGCCACACGGTTACCAGCTCACATAGCGCCACTTGGCCCGCCAATGCTGACTGATATCAGTTCTCGAACTGAACAGTTGTTATAATCATTCAGTGAAAATTTTTTAAACGATGATGTAACAGTTTATTAATTATATTAACGAGAGTTTAGAGAAAAAAAATAAGCCTTTTCAATTGATGGATCTTCGATAGACCTCGAGGACTGACATCCTTCATTGTTGATCGATTCGAGGTATTATCATTCTTCCTATAGTATAAATCATAGTCGAAAGTAAACAACCCTTAATTATGGCGCTTATTATTCTTCGCAGTTCTATTTTTGTTTGATGCGAGAAATGAGTTGTTTTCATGGAGAAAAATTTATTTGTGTTTTCGCGGAATAAACATTTTTCTGCACAATACTTCACATTCAAGCAAATATAACGCTCTTTCTTGTACTTCGACAATTTTCACTTTTTCCAATTTGTGATTTCAAAGAACGAGACATGAGTTAAATGAGAGCCTCGTAAACAGTCACAATATCAAAAATGTATATTTCAACGATCGTGACAAAGTATATTTGCTGTAAACGTACACTTGATAGGTGAAATAATTCATCTTTGCTCTGACTCATCATGTTTCTCGTCACAAATAACAGTATATATGAGAAAACATATGCATATATCTGGTCGCTCTGAATATGATATTTGTTTTGTGCGACAACAGTAAGATATATTAACAATAAAATTTTCAGATTTTATATCAGTTCATGTAAACTTGTTTTCGTTGGCAATGGCATATCGAGATTCAACAGGTTGTATTTTTTTAACAAAGTATTCTCGTTTAGTATCTGTTGCTAATCATTGAACCCTCTTCTAGAATTCTCTTTGCAACTTCTTCGACAATTGTTGAAAAGATACATATTGAATGTTTTTCAAAAATCGTTTTAAGATAAAGATCACTGTCAGCTTTCAACGGAAGTGTTCTGTTGTTCTATACAGTCGCTTCAATCGATATCAATGTTGCTGTTGTTCATAATCATGGCACTCCTAAGTGAATGTTAAGATGATTTTCTTTTTAAATAACACTTCTGAATGCGGATTGTTTTTGACTATGAAAGTCTTTTTCTTTTTACTTACATTATGAGTTTCAACTATCCAGTGGTTGTATGGTGGGTGCGTGGTTGTGTGAGCTTGTCGGTATGGGTATCTAGTTTTCCTTTGTCGGTACTGACAACTACATGCAGCGACATTCATCGATACTCATATTCACTCATACTCAGAGCCACACCGCACAACCGCATCCTTTTTTATTTAGGTATATATAATCAAGAAATATCATGACAAGTTTAATTTCATGAAACAAATCATTATTGTCTGCATTTATGTAAACCTCAGTAATCATTTCAATTGTAGATACAATCTCATAAAAGAAATAATTCTTTTTCTCTCCAGATATATTTCAACAATTAGTTGAATGGCGTCTTTTATCTTATGTTACAAGCTTGCTAATGCAGCCCCTACGACGTTACAATATGAAACTCATATGTGCTCTTTAGATTCATCGTGCTAATACAAAATATGCAAAGTGAAGATTATCTAACAGACGATAGTTCATTTAGAATAGAATTTGTTTTTCTTTTATTTTTGACTAATTGTTTTTTTGATTTTCTCCCGTTGCTGTTCTTTCAGTTTTGATTTTGTTTTACTTTGCTGCCTTTTCATACATTTTTATAGCTAGTCTAATCATTGAAATAATGGATATATAAGTCTGTGTTACACCAATTTCGAGTAAAACTTGCTCATATTTGTCCGGAAACATATTCCAGAGTCCTCATGCTTGTTCCAAATACACCATGGCGAGCTTTATCCAATGGTATAATTAGATTTTCAATAGTTCAAATTCTATGTTGAGAACTTGAAAAATAATGGATTTTCATCATAGAGAATACGAAACCAGTAGAGTAAATCTACCAGCGATTCGTCCGTGACTTTGACCCAAGTGGAACTTGACAAGCTTTATTTAATAGTATAATGGGACTTCGTATAGATCAAACTATACCACCCAAAATTTCTAAAGAGTCGGGATATGTGTATGCGTGTGGGGTATGAATGTGAGTGAGTATGGGTGTGGCTGTAGGTATAGGTTACTCGTTCACCCATATATCACAGTCAAAACCGTAACCATATTCACACATTTCTTGGCAAATTGTCGCTAAATTTACTCTACTGATTTCATACTTTCTTCGGTCAAAAATCAGTATCTTGCGATTGTTGGATATCTAATTATGTCATTGGACAGAGCTCACTGAGTTGTACTTGAAACAATAATAGGAACTTTTGAACAGGGTTATAGACTAATATGAGTAAGTTTCATTGAAGTCTGGTGCTAACTTCATCTGTGTTTGTTCTGTTGGATACTATATGTCATCTTTCTGAGCATTATGTTTCATTGAGAATATCATATCTCAGAACTCTACGGAGTATGACAATTTTTTTTAATAGAATTTCAGAGTTTTAGGAACGATAATGAGAAGAAATTTATCGTTCATGTTCAGAAAGATGTGTAAACTAGTCTCTTTTGACTAGATAATAATAATTTCAAGTGACACCTTTGTACTTCCTAATGATGAACAAAAACCTTAAAACTCTAACATATTCTAAGTAGAAAAAAATGAGCTCATTTGATCAAAATAGACTGGAGATAGAAAATTTTGTTTTTGGTAGATGACTTATGAGATGTCTTGTAAATTAATAAATATTCTCTTTATGATTTATTAAGCTAAAAATCTTAATAAAAAGTAACAACGAACAACATAGTTCAGTATAATAGATAATTTATTTCAAATGTTTATAATATAATAATAAATTTAGAAATGTACTTCGTTTTTGTTTTGGTCAATTATTATCAATTTTAAAATATTTATTTTTATATTATCATAAAAATATTTTCTATTACTATCGTTATGAAATTCATCCGTTGATAACAACTTTTGTTTTACAATATTCAAAATAATATTATGTTGTTATCCATAAATGTTTTAATATATCGAACCCAATTATCAAGTTACATCATAAAAACTTACCCATTTGAAACCAGTACACGGTATAATGATGTAAAAATTATTAATTAATTTATTGAAAATAATTATACAGTAAAAAATATATGCAAATTCATAAGAGTATGATATCTACATTGAAATCAAACAGAACATTGATTAATTCTAATCATAAAACAGCAGCTCTTGCTATGAAGAATTCATTGAATACATACATATATAGTAAAACCTCTCTTAAATGAACATTGTTGGAGTTTTTGAATATTGTTCATTTATGGAAGATGTCATTTATTTTTCTATGGTATACAAAAATGTTGTAGAATATAAGATTCTTTACTATTGTTGAAGTAATTATTATGAATTCAAAAATTTATCTGCATAACAGAAAACTTTTCTTTGTTTCGGTCTCGATACATGTGAATTTGATAAAGACGCGTTGTAAAATTCATCCAAATATATTTTCATCAAGTTTTATGATGTCATAGCTTTTGAATTCTTGCTTAATTTTTGTCAGTCTGATTTGTTTGATAATCATAATTGAATTTTGTTTTTCTCATATTTAAATATTCGATACAGAACCAAGTGAATATAATTAATGAATATTTTCATTTCATGTAAGATGATGTTATGGTATTTTCCATTATAACTGAGAATGCATCGAATCCAAAGACCAGTTCGAAGTTCGAACCAAAAGACTCGGATTCGGAAACCAAGTACAGACAACATCGAGTATTTAAGTAGTTCTTGAATTATATAGGCGATTATGGAAACACTCTTAGATCAGTCTTTAGATCATTTGCTTTTTTTGTCTATAAATTCATCATAGCCAACCGTGCGAGCTTTTTGTTTAACTTACTTCTATTTCCTAGGTTTATTAGTTAATTAAAAATGTTTACATTCAAAACCAAACCCAAACATTTCGATTAGATACATGTCTAATTATAAAAAACAATGAATAGTAGTTTTTAGTGTATTGGTCAGAAATAATAAAGATCAGAGGAAGAAAACCAATTGCACGTGTGTATCCAATTTAAAAGACGTTAAAATAGCAATCAGACTTGTAAAATTAACGTTCAAGTTCAGTATAGAAACATGTTCACCTATGAACGATGCACATTCAATAAAAAATCGTTTCGTAGAAACGAATTCTTGTTAAAAATTGAATGTGTTCATTAATAGAAGTTTCATTGTTTATATCATAGAAAGATTTATTATTTTCTTAATATAAAATAAAACATATAATACTTAATTTAAGCAAAGATAAGAATATCAAAGATCATTTGTTCTGGATATTATGTAATT